GGATTATTATCTTGTACCAAATAACACAAAATAAATTAAAATCCGTTTTATTTTACCAAGTATTTCAACTAAGTAATCAGTTCATATCAAAAGTCTAAGATTAACATCTAATAATGTATCGAATCAGAGCTATTTATGTATAGGGAAAGTCGCGTGATGTAATATAAAACAGTAAATATCCGATTAACACAGGATGTTCTCTTTATTCCTTAAATGTGCCTAGTTTCATATTGGATCAAAACCTCTAGTCTTGATCTCATGCCAATGTTTGTTGCAACATGATATTCTAGATCCTTTATTGGAACATAGATGCGTCATTGCTTACCTTCAAGTTTTGAAGACGGTGGTGGTCTAAACAAGAATCAAGAAACAAAATTTGATTTTTGGTAAACATATATTAGCCTAGATAAAAGTTAAATCCACTGACATATTCGTACTAAACAATTTGTTCAATAATATGTGATTTGATTCGATGATGATATTTGAACTTTGTTTGCTTGAGCGTCCGAGGGTCGCTAGGCAGCCCAACGTGTCTTAAAACTTGTGTGTGAAAAATCAACCGCCTTAATTCAACTTTAGCTAGATTAAAGCATAATGACTTATTTGGTTTGTGTTTCAGTTTTCAATTTTGAGTTTTGAGTTTATTTTCAATTTTCTATTTTGAGAGTCCATTTAAAGATCGTAAAAATGAGTTTGATTTGTCATTTTGAAAAATTATTTCTTAAAAAAAAATAAAAAATTAGAAAACACATTTGATTTGAAATTTTGAAAAATTATTTTTTTAATTTTATTTCATGAAATTTAATTATTCAGTAAAAATAGAACAATTTGATGTTAGTGTATTACAAAGTAATATGTACATTTTAAAATTGGTGAATTTCCAATATATATTTCTCGTTGCAAAAGTAAAATAATAATAATAATAATAATAATAATAATAATAATAATAAAAAATAGAATTAAAACATTTAAAAAAATTAATGACATGGATTGAAAATATTTTTATCCGTGTTCATTTAAACCTTTTTTAGTATTTTTATGTAAAAAATCATTAAGAGTTTGATTTTTTTTTTTAATTTTTATTTTCTATAATTTTTTTTCTTTACATTTCTATTTTTAGGAATTTTATTTTTAAGATTTTATTATTTCAAAATTATAATTTTTTACTTTTTAGAATCTATCAATTTTATTTTTTTAAAATGAAATAATTTTATTTGTTAGAATTTTTATATTTTTATTTTAAATAAAATTAATTTAAGATTTTATTTAAATGCATGTTTTCATGGTTTTAATTTTAATTTTATTTTTATTTTAAACAAAATTATAATCTACCAATGTCACATTTTCCTTTGAGGGCCTGCTCTGTGCCCAACATTTAGCACTATTTACTTTAATTTCAACACAAATAAAACCATCAAAATCAGCCGTTGTTTTCTTTAATGTCACATCCATGGTAACTTCTATAATTCTACGCGTGTTCTATGGAGAAAAAGTACGATCCATTAATCGACTTTTCTTACTCTGTAGAGAAAAACATGATTCATTTGTGATCCTGTTTTTTGCTCGATCTAATTACATTTTCTGCACGTGTTTGGACTTTGGAGACAAGCTATTCTATATGTCGATTATATATATATTTTTTATTTTTTTGAAGAAATGTTTATTCCAGTACTAATACGTAGTCCTTTTTAACACGTAACTTGGGGCAATTTGTCGTGCTCAATTTTCACGTGAAAATAAGTTAAATAAAAATACTTCCATAATTAGCGTTGTGACGTAAGCCCCTACGAATGAAGAACGTGTGACATTGGGGCAGAATCCGAAAAGACGCGGATTTGGTTTGTTTGTTCAAAATCGTTGAAGAATTCGAATTCAATTTGGTGTGGGGCACGACAGGACAACATTTGTCTGGTTGAAGAAAATTGAACTTTATTTTATTTTATTTTATTTTTTGATAACACAACTCGCCACCGCCAAGCTCTTCCAATACCACTCCTGTGACCCCTAGGTAAAATTCTTAAGCTTATGTTTGTCTCATTCACCGCCAATTTCTATTTATTTATAATTTAATTTTTTATTGAATAGAAATTTAATTTTGATATAGCACGACCCCTATCCCATGTTGGGGGTTAACCAAAGAGTTCATCTAGCAGGGATCCTCGTACACGATGAATAACTAAATTCCAATTGTTCTGCAATTCCTCGTGACTTTTCGAATCTGAGTACGTTGACCACTTGGGGAATTTTTCAAACGGATAAGAATCTACAACGAACTAGAATGTCCTTGTTGACGATCCTTTACTTCCACAACATCTAAGAATATGTTCTTGAAAATTCTTGCTCGCGTTGAAAATCATCTTTTACCAATATTGGCTAAAATCTTTATAATTATTTTTTTGTCAAAACAACCCCTTAGTAGATAAATGTCATATCATGGACGAAGGAGAATTACAGGTCCATCCAGTAATTAAACTATCGTTTTCAATTTGTTACCAATCAAATCTGTATCATTTTTTATTGGATTAACAAGAAATTATTACTAGCTAACAAAATTATTTCTTCGAGTTGTATATGAAATTTGTGTCACTAAGGAGTATAAAATCATTATCTTATTCTCGAGAGTGATCGTCGCCGCGAAAAAATAAAAGTAGTTCCCAATTTTATCTATAGATTAGATGGAAACAGATAGGCCACAAAATTTAGTATAATTTGTGAGTCACAACCATACTACACAAAAATTCTTCTATATGGGGTCGCATGTCACATTGTTGATGGATTGATAACAAGCAATATGTGAATAAATTATTGAATTCAAAATGCCACAGCCTTAAAAATAAAATAAAATGAGGGTACTATCTCGGGCAGGATTTTATGAACCATTTTTCAAATTTTTAGATGTTTTTGCCGAGTTCTGGCTAGGTCAACTATAATATGTCATTATTTCAAAGGAAAATGTGACATTGGTTAGGTTGGAAATATGTATATTCTATAGTTAATTAGATTATTAATAATATCTTGCATAAGTTAATTCATTGTGTTTGATAATAATATTATTAAGTAATTAGCTGGGTTGCTATAGGATATCCAATATATGCTTCACACATATTCATGTAGAAGAATTTATGATTAAAAAAAGAGTAATATTATTCATCTCCGGCGAGATTACAAACACAGTTTAGGTGATTCTAAATGATCGGTTAAATGAAAGGTGAAATTAAATGACTTATTTAATTTCACCTATCATTTAATCTCACATTAACATCTAGACTATGTTTGTAACCCCAGAAATGATGAATAACATTACTCTAAAAAAAAGCTAAAGACGGTGACATGTAATATCTGATTCAATTTTTGTTTTATCAAATGTATAATGTGTGCTTTTTAAGTCTGGGTACGTGGATATGAAATTTAAATTTAAGAATTATGTACACTCTAATGATATGTTGAACAAAGGGGACGATGAATCGAGCAGAGCTTGCCACCCAAACTCGACAAGTTCCATGGGCCCTTCCCTTGAAGAGCCAAGCCGAGTCAGAGAGTCCTTGAGCTTTTCGAATTTGTTCTTAAACAGAATATAAAGAAAAACAATAGAAAAAATGAAACGCGCTACCAAAATAATTAAAAGAAAAGAATTTAACGTAATTAAATAAGAAAATAAGGAAAAATAGGTCGGGTTGGTAGGTGAGCCATGAACCCGCCATACGCCGGTTCATAAAGCTTCACGGGCTTACTTGCCGAGCTCAGTTTGCAATATGGACTTGTGATGGAACGAGCCTAGCCGGCTCACCAAGCAAGTGGGCGGTCACGTCAATTGCCACCCCTATGCTAAACCACCCCATACATGTAATATAATTTAAGTTGTTAAAGAGAAGACTCATTTATTTTATTAAACTTTGATCGATAATGATTTCATAAATGTACCTCAACATGGACTAAAATAATATCCAGTTACAATTGTAAGATAATTATATTGGTAATTTTATAGTGTTAGTTGTCAATTTCATATTACATAGGATTTACAAGGGATAATAATTTATTCCTTATATTAGAATTTGTAAATTTTGGGATCTTTCCCTGACTTGAACTACTTCAATAGGAAATCGGCTCGAAAAAGTTAGTATATTTGTTCTTGATAACTGAAGAGTTCAAGTCAAGTTCTTAGAATAATACTTTGTTAGTTAAGTTAATCTTAGATTAATATTTCAAATTAAATAAAGGAAAACATTCATTGACCGGGAAGGCATTGTCGGTAAATCTCGTGTTTCTATTAAAGATGAACTTATAATTTCGATAAAAAGAAACCCACAATCTCTCTCGAGTTTTATGGGACAGTTATATAGACATAAGTTTTAGCATAATATCCAGGGACGGACTCAGGATCGGACTACGGCACGGTCCAACCGCCCTAAATCCGTCTCTGATAATATTTGTCGTACACCCGCGACTACACTCTAAATAGCGCTGGGTATGGCTTGTCGATGAACTAACTATTGAAAAATAAAAAAATAAAGTAGAAGGAAAAGTGGAAACTCATACTCTTTGATTAATTCATGCTTGCAAGCATGCGGTTATGTGAATATAAATTTGGAAGATAAAAGTTGAACTTTTGAAGTGACAATTAAAAGAAGTTTTGGCTATCATTGGAATAATCAATCATTTATTCTCAGAGTAGAGCAGTTAGAATGCCACAATATTTAATATTTATGATTTTTCAATTTTTATATGCGCGTATATATGTGACTTCCATACATAAAGGACGTGTGATGAACGAACTCCAAAACAATTGTCCATAAAAAAATGTAACAAAATAAAGTATTAGAAACCAAATATTCAATATTCTGTCACGAAATTATTTCCATTATCATTCAAAAAGTTGCAAAACACACATATGTAATTTCTCTCCTAGTTACAAATATTGCAAAAAAGATTGAAAAACAAAGTTAACTTTCTTTTTTTTTTTTGTTTTTTGTATGATTTATGCAGTAATTAATGAATATAATCTAGTCTAGAGAATAGCAAATTTGTCTGAAGGTTTCTAAATTGTCCCTGAAGAGAGGAACAAAAACATCTATGCTTCCATCTTGTATGAAGGATGGAAGAAGAAATATCATGCCCTCTGTTGGGAAGAAAGAGGGCATGAAAATATAAGGCCCTCCACATCCAAAATCTAGCTCATAAAATGGAAACCTTAGCCAGCTATCAACCTCCAAATTTGGCCATAATATGGACTCTTCTGTATCTGCCACTGCATTTGGAACAAGATCTTCCTCTTCTTTTACCTCATGATTTGCGAAGTCGATGAACGATTTGAAATAATTGTCATTCACATTTGTGACTGCATCATGAATGAGCTTTGTTGCATATGGTAAAGGCTGGTTTAAAAGATCATTCACTTTGGCTTTTGGAAATGCCCAAAGTACCAAATTTCCAAAGTAGTTTGGAACTTTAGGGTTTAGCCGGTGGCGTCCGTCGACAGATATTCTCACTTGGGTGACTTCATGCTCACTTAGGCCACGAGCCCTTGTTATGGATCTCCAAAGATGTGCCAAAAGGCTCTCAAAAGTACTAAATGGCTTGTTGTTTCCATTCAATGAAGAAGCCTTGGCCTTAAGCTTGGCAAGAAACGCCGTCGAGTAATGAACTTTGTGAGCCACAATGTCATCAACACCATTATGGATTAGAGGATAAACTTTCTTTAGTTTTTTGTTGATATATTCGAATCCTCTATGCTCGAACTCTAATATAGGAGGGTCTCGTGGGGAGAATATTGTACGATCATGAAAAGGGAGCGGACTAATTTCGAGTCCTCGACAAGCTTGGCCCCAAGCAACCAAGAAATTACTAGTCGAGTGTCCATCAGCCACGAGGTGGTTTGCAGTGAAGCCAACCACCAAAGAGCCACAACTAAAGGTTGTAAGTTGAACTTGAACGAGCTCCACCACGCCCTCGAGGCTAGGGTGAAGGCTTAACAAAGAAGCCGAAGGTCTAAAGGGCATCACCTGATCAAGAGAGCGGTCCACCGACGCCTCAACAAACTTAACACCCTCATCATTGAGAAGAATGATAGGATCAGCATTATCATCTTTGCCAAGCCTCCCGGCCCATTCTCGATATTCGGCCAACGCCTTTTGGAGCCCTAACTCGATCGTTACAGTTGGCGGGATCGGAGGACGATATGCGTAAATAACCGCAACATGTTGGTCATAAGTGACCTTATCAAAGACAGATAGGGGAATATGGTTTGTTATTGTGGGAGGGGTGCCTTCATACAAAGGCTGAATGATTCTTGACCTACCTATTTTCACCTTCATGATTATTAGACTTTGGCTACTTGGGCATGCAATAAGGCACAAGGCAATGCAGCTTATGTTGAGGTTCTTCAAGACACAATGTGGCTATATATAATGCAACCTTAAAAACAGATGGCACCCTAAAAAATTTATAAAAAAGAAGGAAAAGCTGTCACAAAAGTCTGGTTCATTAGGCACATCTGTTCGTGAGAGTTTGGTAGACGTTTTTATTATAATTAATTAATCTATTTGACTTATGAGAAAATGATGAAATTATTCATAAGAGTGGAAAGTGGGAACAATGGCACGTTTAGTCGTGGCAAATCGTATTAGGTAAAGAAGATGAGAAAAGAAAAAGAAAAAGAAAAAGAAATATATTTTTCTCTGTCGAATAAAGCCAGGATTTGACTTGGAGTGTACAATTGTAAATTTGTAACTAAAGGGCGAATAGCGATAAGGAAATTCTGATACGTCCAAATATAAAGTTAACTATAATTCAATTTTGTTCCATCGCGTTAATTTGATTTGAATTGTAGTAACTTCGTCAACTTCCATCTTTAACTAACAGCCACATAAATTAAAGTGTACTTACTTGTTTGAAACAAATTAAAACATAGTTACCTTGTCGGGTATGAACTCTATGGTGATCAAGATGCTCCAAGCGGACTTGATATGGCTTCAAACGTAAATTTTCCAGCTATCCCTTCCTCGGTAGGTCGAGCTATTTAACCATCTCCCTTCAGTCGAGTTTCATGAAATCCAACCTTTAATTGATATTGTTGATTTGTGTCGAGATATAAATTGTGATTAGTAGAACTTCACACGAAACATTTAGCCTCAGTTTGATTTGTTAAAAATTAGATATTTAGTAAATTTTGATAAAAGTAGATGAAATGTATGGTTGAAAAAAAATCATAAAATTCTCCATTCCATGAAATGTGTGATTAAAATTAATTGTTGACTTTGATTCAGATTTTTATTAACTTTTTAGCTAAACCAAACCGTGGCTTAGCCCCCGTTTGACCCCCATTATCCCAAAAACTATTCTTCTTTTTTCACTACACAATCTTCTATAAAATAATATCACACGTAAATAAAAAAAAATTTCTTTTTTTTTTCAACCACACATTCTCTAAAAAAATACTATTTCAAAAATTATAATTTGAAATAATGGGGGCCAAACATAGACTTAATTTGCTGCGTGACTAACTAACCGAATCGAATATTAGCTTAATTAATGATCTTGACGCCTACGAATTGAAAGATCTACATAATCTCGTTTTAGTGAACTCAACACTGATACGCAATCGTCTTATAACTTAATTGAAGAAAAATTGAACCAAGTAGTCAATTGAATTACTTGTAACGTGGCATTGAGACAGTTACTACAAATTCCCCTTTGCAATCACCTAACCTTTCAAAAATCGAATGTATGGTTACTATTAAGTTGACTTTTGGGGTGTGTGGGACATGACTATTTTTGTGATAACAATGATTACTATCATTTTTGACCTTATCAGCTTTATATAATTTGACCTCGTCAGTTGTAAGTAATATTATTTAATGTATTTTTGCAGTTGCGTTATTTGACCTTATGCAATTAGAAACATGAGTATGCTATGCAATTGGACTTTTATTGTGAGTCTTTGTATCAAAAAGTACTTTATTGATGTATGATTCGTCCGGTGTTATAGTGATTTACAGCAAAGTCCGAAAGTCAGGTCACAATATTCTAGCCCAAACAACTCCTTAACAGGCTTCAACAAAGGGCCTGCCTTTCGGACTTTGCTGTGAATCACTGTAATCCCGGACGGATCATACAGTCAGTAGATCACTTTCTAATGTAGAGGTTCACCGTGAAGGTGCAACTGTAGAGCATACTCATGTTTCTACTCAAATCATACTCCAAATCACTCAAATCTACAACTACTTTGTACTTTCTTATATTAAGTAAGAACTAAAAGAGTTTAGAATAAGAACATGATATATAAACACACTAGTTTGATTGATTCAAAGATTGAGTTACAATGAGGCGAAAATCTCCTTATATAGAGGAGAGAAAACATTAAAATATTCATATGGGACCCACACACTTTACACATGTCCCAATATTACAAAACTTATCTAAAAAAC